TTGTGCTTTAACCTGCTGCACCACCAGGGAGGGCCCTACCCATCCCTTCGTTTATTAGTGTTTTGTTATCCTTTGAAGAAATCTTCCCTCATCAATTATTTGTTACTTTAAGATGCAATTTGTATAGAGAGGTTTGATTTTTCCCTCCTACTTACCACTTTTTAAAGTAATGAGTTTGTACCCTAACACCGATTAAGATTTTTTAAGATGTGTATTAACATATGTATGTGAATGAAATTGATATTTTTTATTCCACCAAAGTTATTTTACTTGTTGATGCTTAAATCGTTCAACCCTTGACCAATGGAAGTCTATTTAAGTTTTTATCTGAATGAGGGAAAATAGTCACACGTAACACAGCTGACAACAGGTTAATATCCAAGATATGCAAAAGTGATTCAACTTAATAGCAAAAATCCAAAAAGCCCAATAAACTGACAACAGATATGAACAGACAATTTAGGAAAAATTTTCACATATAGCACAACTGACAATGGATTAATATCCAAGATACACAAAAAATATTCAACTTAAAAGCAAAACCCCCAAAAGTCTAATAAATTGGCAACAGATGTGAACAGACAATTCACCAAAGAGTATATCCAGAAGACCAACAAAAACATTGAAAACTGTTCATTATTGCTTTCAATAAGGGAGATGCAAATCAAAACCACAATGAAAGATCATCTAATATGTACCTGTGAAAAGGGTACATATTAAAAATGGCACCCAACAGAAGTGCTGGAGATGTGGAGAAAGAGGAATCCTGTTATATTGTTGGTGAGAATGGACACTGGTGAAAGTAATTTTGAGAAACTAAAAATGGAAATACCATATGACCCAGCAATCCCATTTCTGAGCAGCTACCTAGAGAACATGAAACCTTTAGCTCAAAAATGTATTGGATCTACAATGTCTACTGCAGCATTATTTACAATAACTAGGAAGGTAGCAGCCTGAAAGCTCACTGGTAGAGGGCTGTATTAAGATGCTGTAGGGTATCCGCAACAGAATACGATTCAGATGAAATGTTAACCATTCACAACAAAATAGAAGAAGCTCAAGGAAATTATATATAGTAAGCAAGTGAGAATGACAAACACAAATATGCATTTACACACGTACGAGAAAAGTAAGGAATCATAGATGAGTCAACAAAATACTTATAAAAACTAGTGGATGCTAATAAATGAAGTAAGGTTTCAGAGGGAGAGGTAAGGGAGAAAGGGTCAAATGGGTATAAAGGTAGCAGTGTGGGGGGAATTATTTGTAAAATGGAAAAAAATAAGGGCAATATATTTAAAAATAAGGGCAATATATTTATGAAGTCTCCACCTTCATAATCTAATGCTCTCTCAAAGGCCCCACCTCTGTGATCAAGACCAGATGCCTGAGAACCAGAATGCTGATAGAGTAGTTCCTGCTGAATGGTCAACAGTATCAAAGCCCCCAAAGATCTGATGTCTTGGTTTGAATTAAAACGCAGGAAAAAGTATATGTCCCAGCTTGAAGTCAGCAAGGCAAGATTTCCTTCTACACAGAAGTCACCAGTTAGCTTTTTGTTCCACTTAATCCTTCAGCTGACTGTATGAGTCCTACACACTTTAGGAAGGGCAATATGGTTTACTCAGTCTAGATGTAATCGTTAATATCATTCAGGAACACCCTACAGGAATATCCAGAATATTCAGAATAATATCTGGGCACCCAGCAGTTACAGGAAACTATTAATAGTACAGGCTTCATGTTCCTGTGTAAGTGCTGTCTGTCCTGAGAACAATGAGGAGTAACACAGGAGAGAACAAGATAAAAACAAAACAAAATTCCCTCTAAAACAAGATGTTCCAAGCTGTTGCTGCTTTTTTTTTTTTTTTTTAAACATATCCTGGTCTGAACTGGATTAGTTACTTCTCCAATTAGTGGTTTAAAAAAAGGGACATGTGAATGCCTGGGAGCCCTTGTGATCCCTCCATAGGATCTGTGATGTCAACATTATTTTCATAGTAATACTAAGGTGTCCTTTGCCATTTTTAACTCTCATTCCCTCACAGATATTTATAATGTTTTGCAAAAGTTACCTGCACGATCTGATTAAATGCAGAAATGGCTATAAGAGTTATTTCTTCATTTATTGTCAGACATTAAAGAAATTTGCAAAAATTGTTAGATAATGGCACTCTTCTTACTAAATAAAATTTGTCAATGGATATGTCATTATTTTAAAAATCTGCCTTAATTTCTATTACAGTAAATTTCAATAGATGTAATCCAAATAAACATAAACTTTGGGTCCTCAGAAACTTTTAAGTTAAAAGAGGTTTGGGGAGCGGCCCTCCCTGGTGGTGCGGCGGGTTAAAGCACAGCACTAAGAAGCTAAAGCCAATTCCTCAAGAGTTCAATTCCCACCTGCCTCGGAGGTGACCACATGGGGTGGCAGACCTCTCCTGACCCGACCGCTGCTCCCCTCAGCAGTGTACTTCATAGATCTACCTGTTCTGCTCCCCACTCTTGTCTCTGGTGAAGCCTCTCACCACCCTTAAGCCTCTGGCCTGTACCCCACTTCTGTATGCACACATAAATAAATCTTTTAAAAAAAAAAAGAGGTTTGGGGAGCAAGTATTTGAGAATTGCATCTCCAATTTATCCTGGTTCCTTTGAATGGAAAATTATAATTATTGAGCATTTTTAAGGAGCTAGAGATGTTTGTGATTACTTGGTTGGCCATTGTTTTTAGGGCATTTTAATGGGTAGAACTAAGATAACCTTTTCTATATGTGTGTGTGTGTGTCTGTGTGTATATACATGAAAAACCATAAATTGACACTGGTTATTTCCATGCAAATATAGATAAAGAGTTTCACTTAAACACATACAATTTACATTTGTATCTTCCTTCTCTCCTAATAAAAATCTCCACATAAACATTTATTTGCAGTATTAGATTAACAAAACCACCATTACTATCACACAAACAACATGACTATGTAAAACTGTTTCTTTTTGCAGCTCATTTTGGCTTTGAGGCATACCTTTATGGAGTTACAGTAATTAGATGGTTAAAAGTTAAATGAAATGAAATGGTATGTGGTATGCCACTAAGCAGCAAGTTAGATCCATGTGTTTTTACTTTTGATTTTTAGAGGCTGCTTTTTTGTAAATTTACTTTGTTTTAAAATATGAAATATTTCTAGAGTTAAAGCTATTGTGTAAAATATATTCAGAGAAGTGTAGCTTCTAGTCTATTCCCACCCTCCCTATATAATGTTACATTATAGGTACATAGGTAACATTTAAAAAGTTCGTAGTTTTCCTTTCCATTATTTTTAAAATTTAAGCAAACATTTATATATATATATTATCATTAATACTATCCTTCCTTTTTTTTTGGAGAAAAAGCAGCCTACTACATACATTTCTCTCTATTTTTTCAACTTAATATATTCTGAAGATCACTACACACTTCCTTTTTGTCTTCCTTTTCTTTTAGCAGCTTTATTGAAATATAATTGACATATTGCACCTACCTATCAATTTGATGAATTTGAACATATATATTCATAGGCACCACTATTAAAGTAGTAAACAATTCCATCGCCTCTAACAATGTGGCTCTCCCTTCATTTCTTTGTGGTAGAACAATTAGCACAAGCTCAATCTTCACTCCTCATACTGTCTACAAAGGTGTTAGCACTCCACTAAGTTATTGTACCATAATGTAGTCAACCTGTTCTCTATTAAGGAATTTTTTTTTGTTAATTTCTAGTATTTTATTATTATCCACAGTGCTGCAGTGAATACTCATGCACATTCCTTTCCTATTTTTACCACTTAAAAACCGTGTAAAAGTGAATGCTGGGGCAGTGAGAATGCCTCTAATGTAATTCTACGAGATACTAAGCTACTGTTTTTACTTTCCTCGTACAGATAAAGAAACAGACTGAGACAGTTGCTCAAGGTCACTTTACCAGTCACTGACAAAGCTGTCATTTAAACTTGGAAGTAACGGTTTCTACAGACTATGGGTCACGGGAAGAGTAATTCCACGGAGGGAGAAGCAAGTTACTGATTTTGCATAGGGACTTAAAATTTCTTGTATCACTTCGTCTCATCCTTCCAGCTCCCAGCACGCCAATTCTTTATCTGAATCTCCAGTCCTCACACCAACTGTACTTTCTTCTTAGCCAAATGTCCCCATTTTATGGCACAAGTAAGGCACTTTCCCCACCCTCTATCTTGAAATCTGGGCGGGTAAAGATGGGGTTAAGGGTCCCCGGGGTTTTGCGCATGCCCGGCCGCTGCAAGGAGGTTGGAGCCACTTTGGTGACGTCATAACCGCGCGCCTTTCCCAGGCGTCCTTGCAAGGTCGCTTTGTAGAACGAGAGCGCGCGCAAGTGACAAGTCCCTGGTTCGGGGGCGCGCCGTGTCCTTGTGCCTCAGTACTAGCGGAGGTATGTCGGGGTACACGCCAGATGAGAAACTGCGCCTGAAGCAACTGCGAGAGCTGAGGAGAAGATGGCTGAAGGACCAGGAACTGAGCTCGCGAGAGCCGGTGCTGCCCCCGAAAAGAATGTGGCCCATGGAAGCATTCTGGAATAATTTTTTGAAGGATCAGGCCCCCTGGAAGAATGTGGTGAGTGACGGCCTCCTTTGCTCCCATAAACACACACCCCCTGAGAACCCCAGTCCAGTTACTGGAAGCCCGCATATTGCAGCAGCACTAAGGACTGGCATTGATGCTCTGCACCAAGTTTCCTTAGTTCCCCGAGGGGGGTCAGACTTAGGTTTAACGGGGATATAAAACTTACCCCAAGAATCGTGGACTCGAAGTTATTCCATTTTGCTGCCAAGTGTGATGATAGGAGGCGAATCTTTACCTCGGTTTTGCAGGATGTTGTACATTTGGTTCTCTTGAAGTCGTCCCTCAGAATGATAGCAAGGATCAAGTAGAGTGAACATTCTATGATTTTAGTTTTTGAGAACAGTTGCCTGTTAATTGGTTACAAAGACCATTTAACACTGAACTTAACTACCTGAAGGCACCAGTTTAGCATCAAAGACAGATCCCATTGGTATGCTATTGAGACATATTAAAGAGCCTCCTTTCTAATCTACAAATATGTACCTTTACAAAGGATTTCACTTAAAATCCTGAACTTTACTTTGCAGAAAATCACTCAATCGAGAGTGGTCTTTATTTTCATGGTGTCTGGACATTCTCTTGACTGTGAATTAAATCACATCAATGATGAGTGGCAAACACATCTCAGAATTGCTTTCAATTACCTGTAACATTAGCTAATAATAATGTTAACATAATAATAATAATAAATAACACTTGGTGATAATACTAATAAATAACACTTGGGTGCTTACTCGTGTGTGACACTTTGCTGCAGGTTTTAGATGTGTTACTTAGTTTAATTTTTACTCCTTAAACTCCTATAAGATAGAAACTTAAATTCAGTAACTTACCTGTTGTCCAACATCTAAGAATTAAAGGCATTCACATTGACATCTTTGTTTACCTACTTTTGAAAAAACTGTGGCAAAGTTTGATGCAGTGGAATCAGTGAACCAAATTAGATACTTCTTAAATTCTGACTTAACCTTTGTATCTCTGACATTACTTGTGATTTTGGCAGCTATTGGTTGAAAACTGACTTCCCACCATAGCGTAATCTAAGGAAGTAAATGATCATTTGTTGAAATTCATCTTACCTTATTTTGAGTTAATTTTTTCTTCCATAATCATGTCTGTTATAACATTTATAATTTCGATGATTTTCCTTTCCCTGTAAGGATATACGTATTTCAGTCAAGTTGGCTGTCATAGAAAAGTTTTATTTTTATCTCTCTTTTGCCTTTCTCTTTAAAAAAGAGTATATGAAGGCATCTCAGAGTGAACTTGGAACAACCTCATCCTAGTTATAAAATATTCCTTTATCCTAGCATTGATATGCTTCAGATTTTCTGCCTTCCAATCAAATGGTGTTGTTTGTCCACGTTAGAAATTATAGATTAGGGAGGTCACTGCCTGAAAAATGCTATAGGTTTGATTACTCTGGTTAAACCAATTAAAGCTTTTATTTGTTGATACCATTTTTTATCTTTAACAAACTTATAATAAGGATGCATTTAGAAGGTTTTAAAAAACATATCTATGGCCCTTCCTGGTGGCGCAATGGGTTAGGACGTAGTATTGCAAACTAGCCGCAGCTGCTTTAGTACGAGTTCCATCCCCTGCTCTGGAGGTGACCACATGACTCGGCAGACCTCTCTTGATCTACCCGCTGCTCCCATCAGCAGTTACTTCATCGATCTGCCTGTTCTGCTTCCCACTGTGTGGAGTCCTCTCACCACTCCTGCACCTCTGGCTTGTACCCCAGTTCTGTATGAGTGAATAAATAAAATCTTTAAAAAAAAAATATCTATAAATGTCTTACAAAATGCTACTTAAGTCTTCTTTGCTCAGTGTGTGTCTTCTGTCAGGCCCTATCTTTAGTAAAAAATATTTGAGTGGGCAAGGTTAGCTACAGATTATAAGAAATATATAGCATTTGAGGTTTTAAAACACAGCATTGTTATGTCATTAACGCTTTTTCTGTCACAAAACATGGGATATATATTTATTTGTGTATATTTCCCCCCTCCAGATCTATAAGACATACCGACACAGTATCTTTGCTTTTACTCATGTACTTATACCTGCCTGGATTATTCATTATTATCTCAAATATCATGTGAAGGTAAGTATGCTAAAAGTTTTTTGCATCTATTTTTATTTTTGTACAAAATTATTTCCTATATTGATATGCCTTACCCTGCTTAATGGAAATACTTAGTCACTTATACCTTATTTTTAACTGTCAGTACTTTGAGTCCATTTAGGTAAAAGGTTTAATGAAATTAAAGTAAGTATGTTTTTTTCAAAAAGCTAATCTGTTTAGGAGTTGCTTACAACTTGAAGTGCATTTCCTGGTAGAGTGTTTAAATGATTAGGGTGTACCTAATCTAACAGTACTAGTGTAAACTTAGGGTCCATTAGTAGGAAGGGAGAAAATTATTTGTTTCCTTTAGTAAGCATAGATCTTGTCTTGTATAAAATTCATAGTAGACAAAAAGTATCTTTGCCATCCATTTTCTTTTTCTTGATTGTATTCTATATTTTACAACCAAGATGTCCAAAAACTTGAATTTTTTTTTCATTGAAAGTCTTTGCATGGATGATTGAACTGAGCCAGTTGCTATATTTTAAATACTGTGTATTATTTGGGATAGAATGTTAGATTCTAGGTAGGATGAGGAGGGTTTGCATTTCACGAAGTGGCATGGAAGGGGAGCAATGGTGACTGCCAAACATAGAGTGTAGTAACCCAAACAGGGTGAGCAGTGTTGGGTCCTAAGTGGGTTGATTTGGGGGGCAGGAGGAGTTGGTGAGTTAATCTATTTGTTTAATAGTAGTGGCAGTAAGTTGGTGTAGGATATTGTAACCTGAGAGATGGGAGCTCAATCAGGAGTTAAAGGGAGAGAAGTAGAGGTGGCAAAATAAGATGTCAGGATCTGAGTGAGGTAAGGAGGGCATTTGTTACTAGAGTGTGGTGGTGGTAAGAAGAGATTGGTTATGTACAGGAAGATTGATTTTTTTAGAAGTGCATCTATTAATGATAATGAGACCCGTGCTACTGTTGAAAAAGGTAGCTGTACATAAGGAAAGAGAAACTCTCCAGTACTGCTATGGAATTAGAAGTACTGGTGTGAACTCATTGTTTTTAATATATATTGGTAGCAATGGAAATAAATATAAATGTAAATGTGGACATTCTCTAGCCTTGTTCACTAACAAGGTCTATATCAAGTTACTGCATGGTAATTAAGAATATTTAGCAGCCAGGTCTGACATCTTTCTACACTGAATGAATTACGAGAAGGCTTTTTGGGCAAGGCTGGAGAAGGCTGATTCCAGGATTGGGGCAGGGAAACTATAAGATGGGCTTGGAACATATTGTTCTGAAAGTAGTGTTTCATGAATGATGGAGCTATATCAGAAGGACACAGAGTCAATTTGAGAGGAATCCCACTGGGACAACCTCAACATCAAAATACATGTTGTAATTGAATGAATGAATGAATGAATGAGTGAATGAATGAGTGAATGAGTGAGCCAAATAAATAAAAAGCAAATCCATGAGCCCACATTGATCAAAATAAATAAATAGGTAGAAAAGCTTTTTTATACAGTGGAGTGATAAATGGACAAAGAAGGAATGAAAGAAGTTACTGTATGGGTATAAAAATTACTATAACTATGATTGGGTAAGAGCAGGAGAAAAGTTTTTCTATTAAGAAAGAAAGAGAAGTAATCAGCAACTGGCGTGGCCATAAGTGCATAACTGAAGATGTCTCCAGGACAGGTGTTTGTTGGCTTAGTAGGTGGGGAACCAAATACCTGGAAGGTCTTGAGAGCTAGCCAGAGATTGAAATTTATGTGGTAAACAGTGAAATACTTTGCATTCTGAAAGAGGGGAATGACTTGATAAAAGTGATACATTAAGTAAAATATAAAAGCCATTGATGTGTAGGGTCTTAGAGATCATTGTAAGGACTTTTCTCCAGAATTAAGAAACTTTGAGCAGAGGAGTGATACATCTTAAAAAATAATCAGTCTACTCTGTCAGAAATATGGAGAATAGACTGTGGGAGAGCACAACGGGGATTTGGGAGAGAAGTAGGTGAAAAAATGATCAGAGGCTTGAAGAAGGGTAGTTGGTCTAGAGCCAATGAGAAGCATTTAGGCTCAGGATAGATAGCTCCAGGTAGAACGAAGAGGATCAGTGGAGGAGTCAAGGTTTTGGCCTTTCTCAGTAGGAAAAAGAGAGTACCATTTACCAAGAATGGAAACATAAGGAGGAATAGTTTGGGGTTGGAGGAAGTTAAGTGTTGGGTCTGCTGAGATTGAGATTTGGTAGTCAGGTATAGATCTTGAGCAAACAGTTAAATGTGAGTCTGGAGTTTGCTGAAAATATGGGGCTTATGCTAAAATTGGGGATGTGATCTATTTATTTTCAGGAGAAACTCTACACCCACAATTAACAGTATAACTTCTTTTGCAGACAAAACCATATGCCATTGTTGAGAGGAAGCCCAGAATATTCCCAGTAAGTTTTAAAACTTCTGATTTTCCTTTTGGTCATTATTTTTCTTTCCTTTTTAAGTTTTCATTCAACTAAAACGTCACTTTCTTCTTGCCTTCAAGTGTTTGTTTTGCAACCTCTTTTAAAAATGAAAGAGGAATAGTGTGAGTTAGCAGTTATAGTTGAACATGGGAGGGCACCTTTCAATCTAGCTGTAAAACTTGTTTTATGACTTTGTAGTCCTAAAGTGAGTTGAAGATACTGACAGTTTTTCACTGCTTTCCTGGTTTATGTAAAGTTAAGGACATAGGACAGTAGCTTGAGTAGAGACCAAAGCTTAATAAAAACTTTAAAACTATCATTTCCTGTGGCTTTTTGCTTATTTTTCAAATGAGGCAAACCATAACTCCCTGCATCTGTGGATTTAAATTATGTTAATGTATGCTTTAGATTTTATATTATGGGTATGTAAGCCAGTATCCTAATTTAAAGTCTTTTCAGCGTTAAAAGATTACTCACAAGATAATTATTTAGAATAATGAAATGAATATTAGTTCTTGTCCTGTATCTAGTTACAGTTCTATTGTCAATGTCTAGGTTGTATAATCTTACAAAATAGTGTTAGCTCTTGCTTCCAGATGACATAATACCAATAACCCATTGTCGTCTGCAACAGAAGGGCATTTTAGGGAGAACCACCAAAACTGGATTACCCTTCCAGCTAGAAGTCTGTTTTAGGAAATTATAGGGAATTTTTTCTATATTCACTGTATATAACTCATGTGGGTTACAGCTTAGATAGTCTCAAAAAAGAATGCTCATTTATATGTATATTAGAATAGGACAGACCATAAGCAGCCTCCAGTTCTCAGTAGCATAATAAAACAGACTGACTGCTGTGTAACAGATGATCCACCTCAATCTTACACCCTCTGGAATCTAAGGCTCCTAGATCCCATTAAAGGAAGAGAGGACTAGATGTCACAGGGATGACTTTAAGGTCTACACTTGGAAGTAATTTTTAACACTTTGCTTTCATATCCTTTAGGCTGGAAGTCGTCCTCATTGTACCCAATATCTGGGGGTTTTTCCCTTTAATTTTCTAGTTCCCCATGCTTGGAATCACTGCCAGTTTTTCACCAAATAGCTCTTCGCTTTCTTCTCCTCAAATATACAACACGTTCAGTTCCTTACCTAGGGAAACAGCCCATCAATGCAGCCAGCCCCAAATCCAAGAGCGCCACATGATGCTCAGTAATATCTCCCAGGTTTTTAGATGTTACTTCTCTTGGAGAGTTGAAGATTCTTGATCTAATTAGAGGGAAGTTAACAATATATTTCTTGTCCCCAAATTGGTAGAATTGAGAAAGCACAGTAATCACTGGCAATGCTGAAATTCAAACTATATAAAGATTCCTAAGTCTTGTGGATGGGAAGTTACTTAAATGGGCACTACTTTTGTTTACTGGAAGGTAATATTTCATTCATTGTTCTTCTTGGTCAGGAGTCTATCCTTTTCTGTTGTCAGCCTAGATCACATCTGAAATGAATTTGGGAAGCATGTCCTCTTTAGATTTGTAGGCCTTCAAAGCCTGCCTTTTATTCACAGAAGGTTGAATGATAGAGGTTGTTTAAGCTCAGTCAGATTTTTGTTGTCTATATTTGATTAACCACCCTAGTTCACACACTTGGTAGGTATGAAAACAAAAATACTCAGTAGGAGTCTTTATTTATTTGCTTCTAACCAGTTCTACATGCCACTATCTGTGCCTAAAATTTGCCTTCTTGAGGTTTCAGAATTCTCACCATTTGGTTTGGCCCTTCCTATTCCACACTGTAACTGGTTTGAGAAGAAACCTGAATCAATTGCCCAGCTAAAGTTTGCATTCGGCCTCTACTGTCTGAGCCAAATGGTCAACTGGAGAGGGAGCCTAAAACATTCAGTTGCTGGGAATACATTACCACCTATTGAACTGAAGATGTCTCCTTGCAGCTTTTTCCTAGGGCAGCTTCTGTTTACTGGGGCAATGTAAATTTTAGAAATAATCTGTTCATCATTTTTGTAAAGACAACTTGCATGCCCTTTCTGGTCATTTTGCTTCTACTTTGCTTAAGGTCCTTTTTTTAAAGGGTAAATGCCAGAGCTGAAGTAGATTTTTCCATGTGAGTGCTAACCAAGTGGACCACTTCTACAGATTTCTTCTATTAGCACATCTTTATTTTCCTAGGGTGATACAATTCTGGAGACTGGAGAAGTAATTCCACCAATGAAAGAATTTCCTGGCCAACATCACTGAAGAGAGCTGAAAAATTTCAAAGGCACAAGCCCAAGTTTGTTGCTACATCATATCTGCTGAATACATTTTCTGGAAATGTAACTTAATAAAGTTTACTCTCATGTATGCTGTCTGTTTCTTCACAAACATTGTATAATTTGTGATTCTGAATTATTTTACTACTAAGTGAACCTTGGCCATATTAAAAAAAAAAAAGCTCCAAGCTACTTTTTTGGCCACTCAGAAAAGCAGCCATATGATGGACTTCTTTCTTACACAGTACTTAACTCTGGTCTGATGTGAAGGTATCCAGAAAGTGATATATAATTAATTTAATATAATGACTAGAACAGAAAATGTTTATAAGAAATACACACTTGTTTGAAAGCTGGGTTGTATTTTTTAAAAATATTTTTTAAACTCTGGATTAAAAGCATGTTATCTGTCCATGACTTGATAAAAAGGTCGTGGAACTAGGTTGCTGGGTTGTTTTGAGAATCTAAAAGACAATGTGTTTGAAAAACGAGCACATTCGCGGTTATTACAAAAACTAAACAAAAATAAATTTGGAAACGCTGTATTAAGTATTTTACTTTTAAATGTAATAGAGGTCAGGTAAGTATGACATAAACAACTATTTACAAAGAGTTACAAATTTTCACTCATTCCGAAGATTCTGTCCGGGTATTCCTTGCTTAGCTGTCGGCGGGCGGCTACTGTTGATGCATAGATGACGTATCCCCAGGAGAGTAATACGATCGCAAAGAGCAACTAAAGATGTGGGGGGAAGTAAAAGCAAAATATTAATGTGAGTTGTACTTCCTCCAGCCCCCTCTTCCCTTGCTCCCTCCCTTCCTCTTCCTTTCCCTCCCCTGCCCCACCCCCGTCCGGTGTCCGAGCTAGTCTACCTCAGGTGGGAATTATGATTCTGGAGGGGAGTACACCTAGCCTCCCTTACGTAAGAGGCGGAAGAGCGTGTCCTCCAGGAAGAGGCGGAGTCGAGATTAGGGAATGCAAAGCTTAATTCAGGAATGGATTTTGGAGTTTCTGGGCACTGAAGAAATAGGGAACCTTCCGCTTTCGAGCCTACGGAGTCGACACCGTGGAGCCCCAGCAGGCTGGCGACCTACCACCGAATAAATCCAGTCCAGAGTACGGCGACTCACTGGCTTCATGGTGAGGAGGCAGCGGCGGCGCGCGGCGTGGGGCGGAAGCTGCAGGCCCTATAGTAACCGCCGGGATGGTGGCAGCTGAGCGGTAGCGGCCATCTTTCATCCGGGCACGGAGGCCGCCCCCTCGCCTCCGGGAGCGTTTCCCTCCGGCCCGTTTGGCCTCTTCCGCCCGCACCTGCGAGGCGGGGGTGGAGTGGGCTGGGGTCACGTGACACGGCCTAGCCCGCCTTTCGGGGGAGGGCGCGAGAGGAACTAGAAGTTAGCTTAAAATCTGCTTTTTAAGCGTCTGACCAGAGAGGCGTGATTTGTCGAGCGGTCTTTCTTCATTTGCGGTGCAGGCTTCATGCGGAATAATATACTTCCGTGTGCATTTAAAAGTTTATTTGAATCAATAAACCACATTTTAAGTATTAGACGTTTGCCCTCCGCATCTGTTCCCACTTTATAGAGACGTTTGTATATTCAACTTTGACATAAACAACAATACACTTAGTTTATATATCAGTGACGACTCAATGCAGGAACTCCTGTTAATGGAACCGTTCGTCACGAAACAATTCTGAGCGCAATAGCTTGATGTTAAGTGGTGCTTCTAGGAAGAAATGCGTGGCACGAGTTACTGGACATAATGTCCCTGCCAGTCAACAGGTGTATTTGAGCGTTTACGTGCTTATAATGGTGGCATGTCGCAAATACTAAGCCAAAGGATGGCGGTTTGGTGCGCGGGCGGTTGTATCAAGTTAGGTTCTAGAATGTTTGGGACCTCGTTTGAGACCCCAGTGGTAGCATGGGGCAGTGGGCCGCTGTAGGCGCAGACGTTTTTTCCTTACCCAGCTCAGATATCATCGAAACTGGGTTTTGGTTCCGATTTTGTGAGGTGGTGAAGGCCTTTGAGAGAAACATCCGTTTTGGTAAGATTTCCGGCCCTGTCCTTTTAGGTAACCCGAGTTTATCCCCAGACTGGAGTAGCTGGCAGTGAAGACTAGGGTACGTTTTGGGCTGGGTTTGGGTTCCACTCGAATCCTAATGTTTCGTAGCTGAACATCGGGAGCTGGTCATTTCATCTCCGTGCAGTACAGTGAGTTTCTCTGAGCCATACACTAAATTATTGGAGTAAGTTCTCGCTGAGTTTGGTGAGGTTTAAATAAGGCCAAACGAGTTACCCTGTTTTTCAGGTAAGTAAGGCGCGAATGTTATCTTAAGCTAGCCGTCCTGAAAGCCCCGGCGATTGCCAGCGAGCTTGGTGGCCAGCTTTGTGGTCACCGAGTGGGTGGGTCGCGGCGCTGTCCCTCTAGAAATGGAGAGAGCGGTGGGGGGATGGGCGGGCTCTGGCCGTAGCGCGCTGAACCCCGCCCCCAGTGACGGCGCATGCGTTATGCCGGCTGTTGCTGTGTTTTGACGCGCGGCGGGCTGCGGAGCGGGGTTCTTGTCTAGTCACCGCCCCCGAGCTGCCATTGGTGATGAGCATTTTACGTCACAGGGGTCGCAGCCGCCGTCGCGGTCTCCGCTGTCTCGCGAGGAGGGCGAAGCGCCCCCGCCTGCTCCCGCTCCTGAAGGCCGGCGGCGAAGTCGCCGGGTACGCCTTCGTGGATCCTGTCGTCACCGACCTAGCCTGCTGGGTCGCCGGGAGGTTGCCACGAGCGCCTCAACCGGGCCTGCGCTCGCATCCTCCGAGGTGAGTGAAATCCGGAACAATGGGTTGCGGGGGTCGGAAGGGCTGGGCGAGCTGGAACTCCCGCCAGGAGCGAGGCCCAGGGTCGCGGAGCTGCGGTCTGGGCCTCAGGGGTCTGCGGGCCCCCGGGGCAGGATTCCGGCGTGCGGTCGGCGCACCTGTGGATTTTTCGGGGGGTTAAGGGAGGTGTTGGGGGCGGGGGAGGGTGCGTTTCCTAGAAGACTTCCCGAGGGGCTCGAGCCTGGCGGGTACTGGAAAGGGAGAGTGGGGGGTGGGGCGGGGAGGGGGCTGAACCTCACGAAACACAAAACGTTAGAGTCGTCACGGAGGCCTCGTCGCTCACAGAGGTGTGACCTTGGCTGGATCCTCTAACCTCTCTCGGAGCCGGTCTGTATAATGGGAATAACAGTGTTTTAGTTCGTTGTGATTATGTAATGTACATGGCGCTTATTTTAGATTATGGCCAGTGGCAGTTATCAGCCACAGGGAGCCACCAGCCCCATGATTATTGGAGTTGTCTGTGATGTGTTAAAATATTTTGGCTGGCCTGCCTGTGACTTCTTAGTTCACCTAGTCGGTGCAGCTTTCCTTGGGGGCTGCTGATCGTACAGTGGAAGGAGGCATTGCGATGTTGGTCATGTAGAGATTTAAGAGGAATAAATGAATGTTTCACAGGTAATTTTCAAGATTATTTAAGATAAAAAGAAAGAGGTACCTAAGATTTAATAGTGGTGAATGTTTTTTGTTGTTGTTGGTTTGTATTTTGTTTCAGACCCTGAAATACATAGCTATAGTAGGAAGCCTGACCAGACATGCTTATCTGAATGAGTGACTTTGGTGGGGAATGTTCCCCACGAAATTCTTTTTGTTGGAATTGAATTATTATAAATTTTATGGGATCTGGTCAATAGTTTCTGTAACTTCCATATGATCCACTGGAGTTGATAATTAAATTGCAGCTCAGAGAGGTACAGTGATTTCTTAATGGCCACAAGAGGTAAAACCCAGATATTTTTTAGTGCTTTGGAGTGTAATTCTAGTTTAAGCACTTGTAAATTTTTAAGCCACTTAGCATAGATAAGTAAGGTATGAGAATTTATGTAATTGTTAAAGATGACCATTTTTCCGGGCAGTGTGGCAGATGGGAATGAGCGAAAGTAACTATTTTCCTGTATCATTAGAAAATAGTATTGTGTTTTTATTGTACACCAGGCACTGTGCTGGTTGTTTACATGAATTAGAACACAGATCCCTTCATATAACCACCTTTTTAGAATGTATACTGTTCACTCAATTGTAGCATTGAGAACACAAGGTTTTCAGGAATTAAGTACCTTTTCCATATCACATCTTTTATGAACGAATAATTTTGATTCTCAACTCTTACTTTGTATGAGAATTAACATCACTCCCAAATATAATCAACAGGTGATTAAATTTTAATGACTCTTAAGTAAATCTGTTTTTAAAAATCATTTAGTTTTGTTTAGCATTCTTATTTTATGTCACTGTGCAATTCAAATGTCTAGCCTATGATCTAATTTAGAATGAAACCTTCTGATTCTTTATTCCTTTTCTTTTCCCATTCATCTTTAGATACATGTTTTTGATTATCTGAAATTCCCCCCAAATGTCAATCCCAGCTGATTTGAAAATTTGGGGAAGGAAAGATTTGGTATAAACAGTTTATCTTAAATTATTTAGGAAGTTTATCCTAAAGCTGGTAAACTTAATTGAGAATTTGGGGGGAGGGCAGTTTCTCTATGGGGAAATTAATTTGTGGTCCTAATTCTTACCATGCTGGCATAGAGAAATGGTTATCACAGGCTTTTTCTACAATCTGAAGCACTAACACTAAATCAGGTCCATCTTTGCTAAAACCCAGAACCTCTCCTAGAAATCTACTATCTTAAGTCACCATTTAGCTTTTGTGTTTTATATCTTGATTTGTATATTTTCGACGCCTTTTTTTGAGATATAATTTATATTCTGCCCATAAAGTATATAAATGATGCAATGATTTGTTTACAGAATTGTAAGTATACTAAATATATGTGTTGTGTACATCATAATAGAATTGAATATCCAAGAAACACTAACCTAGGAGCCACCAATCTGATTTCAGTCTAAAGTTTTGCTTATTTAGATGTTTATTTCATATAAATGGCATCATACATGGTCTTTTGTGCCTCATTTAGCACAATAAAAAGGTTCTGTTGTAACTTGTGTCGGCTGATTTTTTTTTTATTGCCATTGTATGGATATATTACATTTTACTTATACATTTATCAGTTGGACATTTGGTTGTTAGCACATTAGAACTATTAACATGTGCTGCTGTCAGTATTCACACAGAAGTTTTTTTGTGGACATATGTTTGCATTACTGTTGGACAGGTGTGGAGTTGCTGGGCCATGTGGTAGTTTTACTTAATGTGTTTGACACACACTTAAATATAGTATTTAGTGATTATTTTAAAGAGTAAATTACTTATTTGTAACTGATGCCATTGCAATGTTGAATTTCACCAAAGTCTAATTATCCTTTGGTTATATGGATGGTAAAGTAAAATCCTGAGCTAATGTGAATTTCTCCACTTACCAGTTAGATTAAGTTGAAATCTGGTCTTCAGTCTAGGCTTCTGGTGACCTCTTTGGTTACCTTGCCACTCTTCTTTAATCCTTTCCCAGATGCATGGACTATCTTTAATACTAAAGATTTTTATTTTAGGGTTTTTTTCCTTCCTTCATTGAGCAAATGAAAATATTAGAAGTAGTGTGGAATGCTGAAAAAGTACAAGCAATGTCAGATTTCAGAGTTTAAATATTACTAAGAAAAAAGCAGTATTGTGTTTTATTATTCTGTTCTTTGTATGGACAATGTTGATTTGGCATTTCATTCAAGAAAATAGACAGGAATAGAAATTTTTGGATCTGAAGAATATTTGTTCAACATTAATTCATTCCCTATTAAGTTATGACAAAAAAGCTAATAAGATGCTTTAGATGAGCAAGTTTAATTTTAAAGCAATGATACAGTACTTCAGTTTCACAGTCACAGATTTTACTGTGGTTTTGTTTCTCCTTTTTGCAAGTTATACAGCCAGTGAGTTTATGCCTAGAAAATTAATTATTGACTTAACTTGATAGAGGAGGTAGAGAAAAGATAAATAGACCCAGAAAACATTAAGGAATAAATTAATATATGTAAAATAATTAGTAAAGAATGCAACTAAAGAGGTATTTTATAAAATAATGATGTCAGAATGTAATCATAATAGATTTCCATTCTGGCAAATTCATTTTGTAAGCTATAGACCAGTACAAAGTTACAAATTTACAGAAAGTAAAACTAATATTCTAATAACCCTTGAAGGAAGATAGTAAGAGAACAAGAGGAAAAGCATGGTTTGAGGAGACTTTATGACTGATTTGTACTAAACTTTGGGTAAAAAGCTAAGAAAGACTTCTCAGGGGTACTGAAAGGAATCAGTAATGAATATAATCCTGTAGTAACAACACTATAATAGTAGTTTATTGTAGTAATGCTAGTAGTAGCAGCTAACATTCACTCAGCAGTTGTTATGAACCCCATACTGCCCTTAGATGCTTTTACACTTAGTATTCATTTAATCTTCACTAAAAGATCTTTTTTTGTGGGCAGGAAAGGATCTTTCTTTAAAAAAAAGTTCAGGATTGTTTGAACAGATGAACTTTCTGGTATATAAATTACCTCACTAAAGCTATTTTTAAAGGTACATGAGTGATCCTTACTACAAATAAAGCAAATCTAGTCTGAATTTAAGCTATAAAACTATTCATAGAAAAACATACCAAGGGAGGACTATAATGTCTTTGTTTTATAGAGAGGGCTAGGAGAAGAAGATAAAAGGAAGATTTAGCAGAAAGTGAAATAACCATGAAAAAGTTATATTTACGTGGTGAGTAGGTACATGGGTGCTTGGTATATTTTCTTTTGTACTTTGCACTTTATCCAATATTTCTTAGTTGTTTTTTAGAAGACTAATGGAATGTTCTGTAATATTTATATTTATGAGAGAGCTTACTGTGTGCTGGACACTTTTCCCAAGAACTTTACATTTCCTCAAAATCTATGAGACATACTCTGTTACCAGTAATCAACAGATGAAATTGAAGCACAGAGATAGTAATGGTCCACAATTATATTACAAGGACCCAAATCCAAAAAAATCTAACTTTAGAACTTGTACTTTGTTGCCGTGCCACACTGCCTCTTTATACTAAAAAGACACCAAACTACTCAACTCTCTTTACCAAAGTATGTTCCTTTTTTTGTTCAGATTATTTAGTCATCACTCTGTTACCAGGTTACTGATGTATTTTTTTCCCTTTTACAGATAATGGCATCTGCCGCTAAGGAATTTAAAATGGACAACTTTTCGCCTAAAGCTGGCACTAGCAAATTGCAACAGACAGTACCAGCTGATGCATCTCCTGATTCTAAGTGTCCTATATGCTTGGATAGATTTGATAATGTGTCTTACTTAGATCGCTGCTTACATAAGTTCTGTTTTCGCTGTGTACAGGAGTGGTCCAAAAACAAAGCTGAATGTCCATTATGTAAACAGCCCTTTGATTCTATTTTCCATTCTGTGAGAGCAGAAGATGACTTCAAGGAATATGTCTTGAGGCCTTCATATAATGGTGCTTTTGCTACCCCTGATGTTCGAAGTTTCCGCTATCGCACAACTATGACAAGAGAACGAAGTACTTCTTCACCTAGTAGTACCGTGAGTAGAAGAACAACAACTCCACCAGATAGTAGAGTACTCTTTGAAGGATTAGGTCTTTCAACAAGACCTAGAGATGGTGAAGTTCCTCAATTCATGAGACGGATTGCAATAAGAAGGCCAACAACTGCAGATGAAAGATCTTTGCGGAAAATTCAGGAACAGGATATTATAAATTTTAGACGAACTCTCTATCGTGCTGGTGCTCGTGTTAGAAATATCGAAGATGGCGGTCGCTACAGAGACATATCAGCTGAATTTTTCCGTAGGAATCCAGCTTGTCTTCATAGATTAGTCCCCTGGTTAAAACGAGAACTTACTGTTCTTTTTGGAGCTCGTGGGTCTTTAGTGAATGTTGTTCAGCATATCATCATGAGTAATGTTACTCGCTATGACTTGGAGAGCCAGGCATTTGTGTCTGATTTAAGACCATTTTTACTTAATCGAACAGAACATTTTATACATGAATTTATCAGTTTTGCTCGATCTCCTTTTAACATGGCAGCCTTTGACCAACATGCTAATTATGATTGCCCTGCTCCTTCATACGAAGAAGGTAGTCATTCTGATTCTTCAGTCATAACAATATCTCCTGATGAAGCGGAGACCCAAGAACTGGATATTAATATAGCTACTGTTGGTCAGGCACCATGGGATGATGAAACACCAGGACCATCTTATTCAAGCTCAGAGCAGGTACATGCTGCTATGTCTTCCCTTTTAAATACTTCAGACAGTTCTGATGAGGAACTTATAGCTGGAAGATCCACATCTCAGATACAAGGAGTGCAAACAAATGAGGACCTAAATAATGATAGTGATTCTTCCTCAGATAATTGTGTAATTGTTGGGTTTGTTAAACCACTAGCTGAGCGGACCCCAGAACTTGTTGAACTTTCCTCTGATTCTGAGGATTTAGGTTCTTATGAGAAAATGGAGTCAATAAAGACACAAGAACAAGAGCAGTCTTACAGTTCTGGTGATAGTGATGTCAGTAGATGTTCATCTCCACGTTCTGTCCTTGGTAAGGATGAGCAAGTAAAAATTCATTGTGATTCTGGTGCAAGAATCAAATCAAAGAAGGAAGAGAAACGATCTACATCATTGTCCTCTCCCAGAGACTTGAGCACGTCTGTCAGAGGAGACAGAGTATACTCCCCGTATAACCATAGACATAGAAAGAGAGGAAGATCAAGAAGTTCAGATTCACGTTCCCAGAGTAGAAGTGGGCATGATCAGAAGAATCGTAGAAAGCATCACGGAAAGAAAAGGATGAAAAGCAGACGATCCAGAAGCAGAGAGAGTAGCAGACCTAGAGGTAGAAGAGACAAAAAGAGATCGAGAACTAGAGATAGCAGTTGGTCAAGAAGAAGCCAAACTCTGTCTTTAAGTAGTGAAAGCACAAGCAGATCAAGGTCTCGTAGCAGTGATCATGGTAAAAGAAGATCACGAAGCAGAAATAGAGATCGTTATTACTTAAGAAATAATTATGGAAGTAGATATAAGTGGGAGTATACTTACTATAGTAGAAACAAGGACAGGGATGGCTACGAATCATCATATAGGAGAAGGACTCTATCCAGAGCTCACTATTCCAGACAATCTTCAAGTCCAGAATTCAGAATTCAGTCCTTTTCTGAAAGAACAAATGCTCGGAAAAAAAATAATCACAGTGAAAGGAAATATTACTACTATGAAAGGCACAGATCAAGGAGCCTGTCTAGTAATAGATCAAAGACTGCATCTACCGGAGCTGACCGAGGAAGAAATGAAAAGCCTGGAGGGAAACGAAAATATAAAACACGACATTTGGAGGGTACTAATGAGGTAGCCCAACCATCTCGTGAATTTCCATCTAAAGTAAAGGAGAATCATTACCAAAAATCTTCATCGAAATTGGATGGAAATTACAAAAATGAAAGTGACAGTTTTTCAGACAGATCATCGGACAGAGAGACAAAACACAAGAGGAGGAAGAGGAGGACCCGGAGCCTAAGTGTTGAGATAGTTTATGAAGGAAAAGCTACCGATACAACTAGACATCATAAAAAGAAAAAGAAGAAACACAAGAAGAAGCACAAGAAACACCATGGGGATAATGCTTCACGTTCTCCAGTTGTCATTACCATTGACAGCGATAGTGATAAGGATTCTGATGTAAAGGAGGATATAGAATGTGACAACAGTCATCCTCAGGATCCTCTACAAAATGAGTTTTTGTCTCCATCCTTGGAACCATTTGAAACTAAAGATATAGTTACAATAGAAGACGAATTTGGTGTCATGGACAAGGACTGTGATATTACTACATTTAATAACAATTTGAATAATACCAACAAAACTGTAGATAATATTCCACCCCAGGTAGCTTCAGTTGAACAAACTCTTGATGTTAGAGAAGAGTGCACTTTTGCCTCTAACTTGGAGAACCAGCCCAGTAATGTGTCTGATCAGACTGAGCCATCAAGGCAATCGCCATCTCCACGGACATCATTAATGTCAGTATCTCTTGATAGAGATTGTGAAATTTCTTGAAGCTGCCAAAGCCTTTCATTGAAAATTCTGATGGTAAAAAGGAACAGTGTCATCTACTGCAGTCTATTTAAAGATGACTTTTAGTGAAAACTCTTTTCCCCCTTAAAATATTTTAAGTGATTTTTTCTTTGTGTTAAATTTTTGTAAAACTCATTATTTGTTCAAAAAGTATGTATGTTCCACCTTCAGAGATAAGCACTTTTAAGTGAAGAAAATGATATTGCTAGCAGTTTATTTAAAACTTGGGATCCTTTTTAAATAAAAAATATATGTAAATTTTAGAAGTTATTTCATAAAGCCATATGGTATTGACATATTTTTAAAGTAGTCAATAAGTATTTTTGAATTTTTGTTTTGGGAGTTATTCTGGAAATGTGCTATAAGCTAGGAGAATTCCTTTGAGCAGTCTTTATTTTTCTCCTTAAAAATTTGTATTCAAAGTCATTTCAGGTTAAAGTGAGGCATTTAAGTCTGCACAATTTATCTTGACATCTGCCAAAAGAAGAATTTAAATACTTCCTTTATATACTTGTTTCTGGACTGCCAGTAAAGCAAATGTGTATTCAATAAAGGAAAAAATAAAACAATAATACTTTAAAACAGAATCTAGAAAATTTCCTATGCAGTATTGCTTTTTTAGGTAAAGTTATTAATGGAGCTAAAATCTTGAAAATAATACAGTCAAATCATAAATAACACTTTTCAAGTGATCTGCGTTTTAATTTCAGTTTTTATGATCTTTAGTTCTTTGTGAGAAATACGTTATGTCTTCAGTAAAATGCAGTTATACAGCATTTAGTTCACTTGAACAAAGCTGTTGCCAATCTCCTTTTTACATTTGTAGTTCTTTCACACAAAGTGGTCTTGTGAGTGTTTCATTGATATTATTAATGATAAAATTGCATTGCTTTTGATACAGGCTTGCTATTGAGCAGCAGAACTTGAATGAAATCTAAGTGTAGCCTTCAGTTTGCCTTATCTATTACCTTGGTTCATTATTTAACAAAAATTGAAATGCCTATTGTGTGGCAAGTTCTTTACTAGGTTTTTAGGGATTCAGTGTGGTAGAACATAGCAGATTTAATGCTCTCTGCCCTCATGGGAGTTTCCCTTTCCCCCCTCTTTCCCTCCTATCTTCCCTTCTTTTTCCTCCTTCTTCCTTTTTCTCCCTCCTCCCTCCCCCCACTCTCACTCACATACACATTTTGCAAATTAAGTTCTCTGGAGATAAAGTGTAATTTTCTATAAGAGTATGCATTGGGGCTTAATTTTAGGTGGAAGTGATGGTTAAAATGGAATTCAGAAGATAATAACCCATAGTAGAATAGTTAGCAAAGAAAAAGGTGTACAAAGATCCCAAGGTAGAGGGGAGCTTCACATACTCCAAGAGCCAAAATGAGGGCTGGACTAGCGAGCAGACAAAGTGTGGGACCAAGCTTTGGAAGCCGTACTTAGAATTGTATTTATCCCAAGGGCAATAGAAAACTGAGTTTAAAATGACAATCTGACTAATGTAACTTTCATAAGCTCATACTGAGAAATTGTGGAAAGACTATAGTTGATCAAGAACACATAGTAACTCCACAGTCTGACTACCATCACGTTGTCAGTGAGACATACGACTCAAAACTTTGGCACCATCTCATTACCCACATTGTCGTTTAGCCCAAAATTTACGAGTCTTCAATAATTCCCACGCCTTCAGTTCCTTCATTGATCGTCAAGTCCAGTCACTACTTCTCTATTGTGACTATATCATGGCTATCATGGCCATCATGTCTTTCCTATAGCATAATGGCTCAGCCTGCATCTGTGGTGCTTACAGTAATTGCTTTGCCTACATTCTTAATGTAGCATTCAAAATACCTTTCCCAAAAAATTCATTAAAGTCCTTCAGTACCTATTATTATTTGCTTAAAGCAAACAAACATCCCTGCCTAATGTAATTTTCAGATCTTTGGCTCTTACGCTATGGTCCACTTTAGTTTTTTCAGTTTGTTTGTGCTCTGACCACAGTAGATTATAGAGCGCTGCTCTGGTTCAGAGTCTTTGTTGATAACATTTTCTGAGAAGTGAATTTTCAGGTAAACTAGATTTCTGCTAGTTGTCTAGTACTTGCATGCAGTTACTTGTGCTCAACAACCCTGGACTCAGAGTGAGTACATCACAATTTGTGTTGATTACTAAATTTCATATCCCACCAGTCAAAAGTTACTCAGCCAGCAGTATGTGTACCCCTTTAAATAGAAGCTTAAAATAGTGCTTAAAATATCTGATGGGGAAATAGGGTGTCAGATTTTAAAACTAAGCTGCTTTCTGCTTTCAGAGCTTCCTACCTGTAAACATTTTAAAACTAAAACTATTCTTTTAACTTATTCACTTGAACTGTCTTTGCAATATTTTACCTCATTTTCAGTGGTTATGTGACCTTTGTGACTTAGTTGTGCAAGGTAAATGCATCCAAGCCTTGCATTTGCCTTTTTATTTTTATTTTATTTATTTATTTTTAAAGATTTACTTACTCATACAGAACTGGGGTACAGGCCAGAAGTGCAGGGGCAGTGAGAGGCTTCACCAGAGACAGAGCAGGGAGCATAACAGGCAGATCGTCGAAGTACACTGCTGAGGAGAGCAGTGGGCAGGTCAGGAGAGGTCTGCCATGCCATGTGAGTCATCTCTGGGGCAGGGATTTAACTCATGCTGAAGTGGCTTTAGCTTCTTAGTGTTGTGCTTTAACCCATTGCACCACCAGGGCCTGCATTTGCTTATTAATTGAGCCTGCTTTAGATTCTCAGAGGGAAAACTTGTTACCACTTGTACTCCTTTTTAAAATTTATTTTATACATACAGAACTGGGGTATGGCCAGAGGTGTAGGGGCAGTGAGAGGCTTCACAATAGCCTGATGGGCAAAGTGCACTGGTCAGAAGAGGTCTGGATCATGTGGATCACCTCTGGGTTGGGGATCCAACTCAGCATTGAAGTGGCTGCAGCTCACTTGGAGTGCTGCATCCTAACCAGTTGCGCCACCAAGGAAGGTCCCTACTTTTACTCTTCAGTCAAGTTTGACCTCAGCTTCTCTGGGATCTAACCCCAGGGCCTCACTAGCCCAGCCAATCTGTAGTAATGACAAGTGGTGGTAGGGCCAGCCAAGGATTTCTGCAAGAGAGGTTGACAATCATTACTGGGAATGCTTTCATCATAATTGTAGTTCCTTGACAGTATAGGGTGTGAATACCCTGAGTCAGTAGTGCATACAGAGTTCTGGGTTTGGAAAAAAAATCTTGAAAACTGTTTAGGGGTGCCAGAACACACACATCATCTGGTTTGGGTTGTTGTCAGCTCAGTGAAGGGGGAAATGGGTTCATTGTCAAACCAGATTTCATCAGAAATTTAAACATCCATTGTAACAAAGTTATTTAGACCTTTATAGTAATGTTAACTAGTTTAAATGATTGTGATAGAGATGTCCCTGAGACCAGAATTTGTATGTCTTTTAGGAAAATTTAAAATGGAAGCTAAATCATACTCTATATATAATCGGCTGTCATATGGTTCCAAAAAATACATAGTTGGGGAGAGAGCATGACAAAGCAATTTGTGGCAAAATGTTAAAAATTGAGGATGAAGGAAATGGAATTCCTTATGTAGTTATTTCCAGTAACTTCAAGTTTTAGAAAGTGCTCTGTAGGTTTGCCCAAGTAGTTATATCACAAAGTTACCAACTGTGTACTCAGCAAAAAAAAAAAAAAAAGGGTGACTATTAAATGACCTCTGGGAGAAAAAGCCAAATTCACTTGTATTTTGGTCCCATTTATGATAAGGCTGGGCCTGTGGAGGTGAGTCAGTTTGAGATAGATGGTTAACTACTCTTTTTTTTTTTTTTTTTTTGAGATGGGAGGGAGACTTGGACAGAATAAGTTAAACATAAAGAAGTATAGCTACTGATGTAGCAAAGATACTTCAGTGTTAAAGGAGAGTCAGAGCTCACGTAAATGAACTAATAATGCATAGCAGAGACAATCATGCTTTCAGATGGCAGGAGCAGGTAAAAAAAGGACAGACAGTTGTGCACTGTGATGAGGTCGTGCCTTAATATCTCTTCATGAAATAGGACATAATTCCAAAATTTGAGAAAAATGACCATGAGCAGTGTTGGACTTGGGTAGAGTAGTAGAAAAATGAGATGGAATGAATTTATGGGACAGCAAGACTTGCGATGGGTATAGCATTGAGCACTGGGAGTAGAAGTAGAAATTTATTGGAAATACAGTATGCATTCAGTATACAGGTAATAAATAAATGGGTGGATTTTTCTGTGGTTGAGGTTTCAAATGTGAGGAGTAAAAGGAGTTGAAAGAGATACTGGTGAATAGTTAATGTATTCCTTCTATCTAAATTGAATAGCCCATATCTGGGCTATGTAGGGAAGGAAGTCAAGCTTTGAAGTAACCATTACACTTGAAGAAAAGTAGATTTGAAATTCACTTTCCATTGTATAAATAAATTTAACTGGGGTAAGAGTAAGAAGACAAAAAAAAAAACATTGTTTTTTTAGAGTTCCTAGTTCTAGGCATCATTGGAAATAATATGGCTAGTGCTTGGAACTGATAATTATTACTGCATGGAAGACACTTGGTGATGACAAAGATGGTGGCTAGAAAAGAAAGTGGTGGTAATATCATGAGTATTGTAACTTACCCTTTCAACTGGTGTTCTGCCGAAACAACTGACATGTAAGAGGAGCTAATCAAAACTTTTCAAGTAATTAGCCAGAATTTTTAGTCAAGGTATTGGAAAACAAGTGGGTCATGGCTGTTTTGAAAGCACACGAAGATTGGTTTTTACAAAATGTCAAAGATCAGTAATTATTTAAAAAGTATATATATTTACATTATTCATTTAAAAAAGATTAATAGATTCTTAACTACTATTCAGAAAGAGTATTGGAAGATGATAAATACCAATAGATCTATGACTGAAAAGCAGGAAGCAAGGAAAATGTAACTGAAATGTGGCCAAGTTCTGAGTCAAATACCTTCCTGTAGAAGCTGCACCTGCACTATTACCAGATAATTGGATGGCAGTTAAGGATAAAATTAAGCATTTAGGATTAGGCTGGCTTCTGCATCCCTGCATGAGCATGTGCACTTTAAATCAGTGAGAAGATAACCTAGGCAAAGGGATAGGATAGTTCTTTGCTTTTCTATTTGTAGCCTGCTAGATCAGAATCTGCACTTTAATGTGACCTGTGGGTGACTTGGGTGCACATTAATGTTTGAGGAGCTCTGCCTGTGGGTTATTTTCAACAGCAAGCAAGAACAGTCTTGACTTCTCCAAACCTGCCTTTCTTTCAGGGTTCCCCCTGAAAATAGATGGGACCACCATTCCTGCAGCCACTCAGGCTAAACAAATTGGAGTTTCCCTGACTCCTCTCATATATCTTCCATCCAGTTTATCAGCAAATTGTGTTGAGTTTTAGGACTATATTCTGCAGCATCACCACTGCCATGCTCCAATCCTAGTTCAAGATGGCGGCATCTCTGGCTTGTGCTGGATGTGCTATAGCTTCGTATCTGGCCCCTCTTCTTCCACCCTTGCCACCTGTAGTTTATTTTCCTCCATTCAGTTGTTGTAATTCTAAAAACACATGGCGTTACGTTATCCCCCCTCTCAAAATTTTGCAGTTCCCTCATACTTAGAATATGTAGGGTAAAACCCAAAGCCCTTATCTGAAGGGGTGCTTGCTTACATACGACCTTACTGAAACTCCTGGCCTCCCTCTCCTATCCTCTCAAGT